CGGCGTCGGTCAGAGCACTGTGTCTGGGGAGCGGGGACGACACCCTGTTCACAGTGCCAGGCTGGATGTGAGAGGCAAGGTTCATATAGATGGCTGAAGACGACGTACGCTGGCAAGGAACAGAAGAACTGGATTGCTGGAGAGGAAGAGGAGATGAGGATTAAGACAGAAAATTAATACAGCCCCCAACTACGGCTCAGCCCCTAAGGGAACCTGGATGAGCCCGATCACCTTCTCACAACCCTCCCTCTGTCTGCAAACGTTCCCAAAAGGACCTGGGGGGACAGGAGCCGTGCTGGTACTCGGAGCAGGGAGCTCGTCTCAGCCCCTATGATAAAGTAGTGCCAGTGCTGAGCAGCCTCCGATGCACCGGAATCTGCAGGAGGAGTCTCAGCCGCTACAATAAAGCCATCAGCAGTGCCGGAGGAGCCTCCGGTGCACCGGAATCCGCAGGAAGAGTCTCAGCATCCAGAGCAGCCCCGGGGACTTCGCAGGCGAGGAAACGCGTGCGCAGGCTCTGGCCTCAGGACCCGGTGTCGGCCTCGCCGAGCGTCGGTAGCGCTGAGCGCCGTGATTCACACGCGGGCACCATCGCTCGCTGTCGAGTTCTGCTCCTCCACCTCTCGCTTTGCTGATCTGGCAGGCGCCCAGGCAGCATCCCCGCTGCCAGATGGTGTCCGTCCCCTCCCACGCAGGTGCTCCGAATGTGCCAATTCCCTCCTCTTCCATTTCCAGCAGCTTTCTTCTGCAGCCTCCGTTCGTTTGGACGCACGGCCCCTCTGGCACGTGACGGCAGCGAAGCACAAAGACTTCTGCCGACCTGCGGATGCAGCTTTCGCAGTCGTTCGCGATAAGAAGCCATCAGCCTGCAACCTATTTAAGCCTGGGCAGGGCCGCTGCCAGCCTTTCACCCAGCCTACCCGTTTCCCAAGGTAGGAAACGCTTCCATGCACGCAAAGGGGAAAATCCCAAACAGTACCAAACCCTCGCAGCCATTCGAATGGGATCAGCTACCAAAGCTCGGGCGGCACGGTTGTGTCGATCAAGAATAACACACAGAATCCATCGGTTTGCCCCAGTTTTCTTTTGTAAGACTGCTAACACTTTGCTGATTGGGGAAAAAAGGCAGGGAACCAAGCTAATCCGAAACCAGTTGTTCTAATGGAGGTCCAGGAAAATTAATGGCAGAGCTGATCAGGGATATCTCGTGCCAATTTAAATAAATAGTTGATGAATGAGCACCGATGAATTTACAACTCTTCTGTAAAAGTAGTTGGGGTGGTTTTTTAATTGAACCTGTAATTAGGTTTGTTTAGCAGTTGTTCTGATGCAAGACTTGCAGATTGTTGTGTAGTCACGTTTATGATTTACAAATTTGCGCTACACTATCGTTCAGACAAATTAAATGGCTTAAGAACTGGCAACAAACCCTGGAAGGAATTAACAGGGGTCGTTATCCCGGTCCCACAGCGCCGGAGACGCAGCCCAGGAACCAAGGCTGCTCGCAGGAGAAAGGTTTCATTGCTTTATGCAGCACCAGTGCTAGAACTGGAAAGCGTTTTTTTTTTCCCCCTCTCTGTTTCCAGTCTTCACGGACGTCTTTCCACTCTTCCAAAAGTAAACCAAATGGTTTTAAGCGTCCTGCTCCTCGATGGCAGGGAGCTCACTGTGCTCTGCCGGCAGAGAGAAGCGGGAGGAAAGCATGTGTGAGCTACTGACTGCGGGAGGGGGAACCGGTCCTGCTCGCAAACCAGTCACCCCGCCTCACTGGGCTCTTCGTGTCACTGGTAGGAGGCTGGTGCTGATCAGACGAACCCGCGCTTCGGTAGCCGGCAGCTCCAAATAGGAAGTTTTAAAATTATCGATCATTTCATTCTTCCACGCAGGCCAAGGACACCCGTCTTCGTCCGCGCTTGGCATCTATTTCCACCTGCAAGCTTTGCTCCGACGCCTTCACGCTGAGCTCCGAGCAGCTCCTGGCATTCATCGGACTCACAGGGCACCTCCCACTTCCCCCTCTCGCTAACCCCACCGGGCAACCGTGCCCAACACCCAGCGACAAATTCGTAACCTACCGGCTGGTAGTTGATGGCTGGATTCATGCTTGGAGTTGTAGTGCGGATGAGGCCAGGTTTAGGAGGAACCCGCTGCCCTTGCAACTGGGCAGGGTTTGGAGCAATCACACGCTGCGACATAAGCATATGGGGCAGAGTCGTATTTGTGGCAGACCTAATGACACTGTGACCCTGTCGAGAAAGGAAACGAGAAATAAATAAAAAAGGCGAACCAGAATTTTTCGTTCCCCGATGAGGCTCTGCAGCAGCAGAGCACTTCCATTTATCCGTAACTCCAGTTAACTTCTAAGGCAAGACGCCGCTCAAAGAACTTAACTTTTCCTCTAATTGTCCTTTATTTTAAATAATCACGGCCATTTTGCCTGCAGGGAGGATGTCTCGAGTTAACATACTCGTATTTTCTGTAGAGAGGCTGGAACCGCACCTGAGCCAAGAGAAGGGGGTAGTGCTCTCGGGGAGCAAGCGCTTCCCAGGAGCCAGCCAGCTCTCTGGGGAGAGGAAAGCCCTCCAGGATCCAGGCTGGGATGTTTTGGAAGGTAATTTTCACTATCTTTGCGTTAAAAACAAACCCGTCAATTTGATCGACATGGAAAAATGCAAGGGGAAAAGAGGGGATTAAAAAAAAAAAAAAAAAAAAAAAGGAGGCTGTTTGCCAGCTGCACAAAGCTATTAAACCAGAATTCACACCGGTGCCCGAGTTCGAAGCGGAACAGTTCGAGTCCTGACGAACAGGGAGGTGGGCGTTTGCCTT